TCGACATAGCTGCTGACAAACCAACGTTCATCGCCGGCCCAATAGGCATCCGTAAAGATCACTATTCGAACAAAAGCGGATCGAGATCACTCTAACCATTGTTACGACACGCAGAATACGTTCACGGTACGTATGCACATATGGACACGTTCACAGATGACCGTAGCGTGAGAATTGTTCGGCATGCACTATTTCAAGACTCCGGGGGTCCCATCACTGCAAGTACTGGGCTCCAATTCGACAATGAGCTACGCGCCCGGCGTGCTTTTCGCGGGTTCATGCGACGCTCGCATGCTTAATCACAAACGATGAAGGCCTGATGAGCGCATGAAAGTGCCAAATGTTATCTTGTGGGCAGCTTATCTACGAAGCAACGTACATTATGCACTGCTTTTAAATGTTGTCTTAAACATTTCCGTTTCCAGCATGAGGATGAATCCAGCGATGAACTGGACGCATCTCCGCGATCGGTGTGCACTTGGAGATGCAAACCATTTCAGTCGATAATACTTTCTGCGCCTTTTTTATTGCTATATTGGGTTCTCGATCAAGCGACTCATCGTCTAGGGGTCGTCATCTCGTTTCTCAGTCATTTTTTGACGTTTAATGTGCTGGGATGCATGTTAATCTGAGACCTGTAAGACGAAAGAAAACTTGCCAAATAATGAACTCACGCGTACTCAGCATATCTACAAATTTCTCTCAGAATCTCTCGAAATAATGTCATTTATTTTCAAACAAGCGTGTAGTTGTCAATCACATCATCAGCGACGTTCGGAATGGGCGTTTGGTTGAAATCAGCCTTTGGAAATCCGTTACCCGGAACATCTGCATGCACATCTCACTAGGCACACATTTAGGTGCAACGCACAGAGAACATGAATTTATACTGCATTCTTCGTGATATCTCAAACAACTTTGAGGTCGAGACAACCACTCCAAGGTTTTGTTTTTGGATACTGACAATCGTTGCAAAAACATGATGGCGCACAAATTAAATTGTCGCCGCGTTTCGCTGAAGTTCTGGCCGATGTGCGTTAATGGGATTGCTCGATTGATGGGCCATTCCGAGTTTTGTGTATAGTTCGTCGTCAGGCTGGCTTGTACAGTCTTGCGTTGCATTACCAGATGGTCCTCTTATCGGTGAATAGTTCTGCGCCTGAAGGTAGGCACTGTTTGAACGAATCCTTCGGTTTACTTGTTTTTGTATACCCAACACCAGGAACACGACTGGATGTTACGAGGGAAAAGTACAATGTAAAATGCATTAGACTTTAGTGATTACTGTTTGGTAACTCTCCAGCAACTCATTATCTGGAAAATTATAGGACAGTGATAAACTTGCGAAGGGAAGGAGAAAATCTAACAATCTGACTGTCCTCAATGTCACGTGGCCATACTAGCTGGCAACTACAACTGAGAGTAAACTGACATAGGGAGCAGTTGAAAGCAATGGAAAGAGAAGTACCTCGGATCATTTTTGGAAGACATTCCTGTGGTAATGACGACCGGAATACGAGTGACAGATTATATTTTTGTGATGTGGTTGATGTTATAGTCTGGAATTTATTAATATTCCGTTAGTGAAACGTGTACCTTTGTTTCAAAAAACAATTGAAATGCTAATTTGTTGAAAGCCTCATGCCAGGCACTTAGAGAGGGCTCAAGGTACTTATATGCTATATTGATACTGGGGAAGTATATAAAATTTGTGGGCGTAAGTTGCCATCTGCCTGATGTAGTTGAACCAACGTCGTTTATTGGCGGGTGTTAAGCTTGCATGAGTTGCGTGCATAGAGTGCGACGTACTGGCGATTCACCAAGTTTCCCGCTAAAAGCGATGCTCCTGGAACGGTTGGTGCGATAAATAAAACTCCGGTTTGTAACTGAAAGACTGATGGTTCGATATTTTTTCAGCCTATCTTATCTATATGATTAGTATAAATTAGAATGAAGCGTCGGCCGCAATGTCAGAGTTAGCATTTGTTTTAGTTGAAGCGATTTCCTTAGAAATCCGCTAAAGCCGTCCAGTAAACACCACGCTGTTCATGTGGAACGGAATAAATCAGATACCGTTGGACAAACCTAACCATGCATGCAAAGCATTGTCAGGTAAACCCAAGCATCAGTCATGTACGAGCGTGGAGTAACGTTCAGCATGTATCGGCACACACCGTAAAAAGTGAAATGCAAGCGGAGAAGGAATGCGGAAAGGTTCTGATCCAATTGATATACAATTACATGTAATGGGTTTACAATCGCCTACGGATGCTTATTTTTTAAAGTATATTTTTAGAGCAACAGAAAGACGTCGCTACCTCTGAAAAAATGACGGTACTTGTCTGCAGGTTTTGGACAACAGTCTGTTATTGGACCCTCGAATGGTACCTAACCAAAACGTTGGCTGCTGTTTACTTCTAGGGCGACAATATTTACTACAGCCACTTGCAATGAAAATCACACCAAACTATGGACTCACCGATATCGTTTTTCGTAGCCTGCATTCTCTCCTCATCTTTCATTATCAGCCCTTTTCTTGAACTTGATAGCAAGGTGCCAACTCGAACCGCATTGCCAACTTACTGTTATTACAGCTTAACAGAGAGAAAAAGAGCAACCAAGGTATGTCCACGTGGGCCTCGTATTACACAATTCACATCTGCCTACCAGTCGATTGACGATACGTTCAACTAACGACAAATCTGTATACGTATTTCAAAATAGATGACAACCACCGTGGTGTTGCACATCCACAACACCACAAAACGGACCGCGTACAAAAAAGAGTCGGTCTTAGTTAGACGTAACACACAGAAGAGATGAAGAGGTTAATCAGAGATAAGAACTTCACAGAATCAAATTACTGAAAACACGTGTTCGAAATGAAAAATTAGTAAGCAGCCAGATAGCTTACTGTTTCCAGCCAAAGCAGGGATAACAAAAAAGACTTCACCCCGGTTGTATGTACCGTCCTATGTCTAGTCAAGTCAGTGACAAACTTTATGCATCTCAGGAGGTGAGTGTCCAGCTTCTTGCAAACTTATATTTTCAATGGATGAAAGGCGGTTGACTCAAGTGGATTTGAGTTATAAAACAGTGCCCGTAATCATAATGAAACGTATGGACAATTTTGTAGACAACCAACATTAATACCAGTGTTTCTTAGTTGATTCCAGAATAACAGGACTGGTTTTGTTTAGAAGTTGAACTAACTTGGACCGGTAAGGCCGGGTGCGTGCAACTGATTGAATCCGAGCTTAGTTAACACAAAAATCCATTGACAGACCTTAGTTAACAGAGTGAATTACGTTAGATGCAAAATTGTCGCATATTGTAAGGTGATAAGGAGCAATAAAATCGAACTGTTCATGGGGAATTCAATAAAGACATGATAAATGTTTTAAAAATAGCGCAAAAAACGTGAAATTCTGTAACCAAAAAATCATGAGAAAAGGCGAATTGTATGTCCAGTGAGCGTTGATGAATGGACTGATTACATGATGTAGAATGGAGAGATTCTCGTGAAACTACC